CGCCGTATCATGAATAACCGGCTACAAGCTCTGCTCAGCGATTGGTGGTATAAAGATTGCCCTGTTCGGTATCGAAAGTTAGATCTACTCATGAAACGGCGCAAGCTGCCAGAGCTGGCTCTATCAAGGCTTCTACTCCGCGAACTGATTGCAGCCCGTACGGGCCACGACAATTTTGCAGCCTATAATCGTCGTTTCAACAATGCAGATGCACCCAATGAGTGTGCGTGTAAGGAGGAGACTAGTCCTACACACTTCATACACTGTCGACTACATTCTCACGAAACACGTCGAATACGAGGTCTAAAGTTCCACCAAAACTTCTTACGTCAACTTCTCGGACCCAAGTGCCTCGAAGGCTTCAGAAACTTTGCACACAAAACCCGATGTTATGGGTGCTCACCTTCAGGTTAGATCTCTGCTCTCAGCGAGGTCCAATTAAATTAGTCATAGAAGGAAAGGTGGTCAGGGATGAAGTGAAAAACTTTTCCTATGTAGAGTGCCTCCAGAGAGTAGTCCGGTGATATATGTAGTTTGTATAGGTAATCTTTATATAATATATTGGTTAACTCGCCCCAAAGAAAACCTACAGTAGCCATCGCTATAAGATCGAGAAACAACGCTAGGACTCGAAAATTTAAACAAACAAACAATATCAGAGGAGTGTATAATAGATGACTCAATTTACAAGAGGGGCACTCATGCCTCGGATTTCATCTGCAAGTACCACTGCGAAGTTATGGCGGCTTTTTCTTCATCCCAAGTCAACCCTCATCCGTGAATACCCACCCAGGGGAACGTCTCAAAACCCCTGAGTTATCCAGACATGCCTCCGTCATCCATTATCTTTCCTTCGCGCGCAATATGATCTGAGATGTCTCCTTCCCAAGTGGAGTAGGTGCCCAGGCTACTCAGACTATACCAGAGAACACCACCAGGAGGCGGACCACAACACCTTCCATCGTTGGCTTGTGTTTATAGTGTCATCTGCACTCTTGCCAGCGAAGTCTTGGCGCACACAGAGTTCAATTCGTAAATCTCTTGCCAAAATTCGATATCTCACGCCCTTCGAAGTTATATCCTTCCTTTGTATCATCTGATCAACTTGTCTTGATCCCTCTCACGTCCATCCCAAAGAACTATCTCCCAGATTTGTGCGCCACGCTTTGCTTCCACCGTCGGGTATAAATATCGGCGTGGGCGTGTATTTGGTGACCGGCTGAGGCCAGAGAAAGTTGACTAGAGGTGTGATCATAGGGATAAGGATGTACTAGGTCGTACTTGTAGACTTTATGAGGCTTTTTTAAGAATCGGACTCTTTGGGAGTGAAAGATTGACATGGTGGAGTAGTTTGAATCATTGCCTCGTGGGCCAACTTGTTCGGTATTTCGAAATTTGAATGAACTTGGCTCTGGGAGAATATTTCGCTCCCAGGTTCGTAGAGGACAGCGCGTACAGGTATTCAGTCTTGCCCTCCAGTACCTGTGTTTATTATTAATTCATTTTATTGTCCTGTCTGAGTCTATGACTATGTAGGACATGCAGGTCCTCTCTGCCTACAGGCCAAGGATACCTATACCAGTAGTATATCCCCTCCTATGCCTCCCATACGGCTCCCATCTAACAGTACCACCCCTCAAAAGTCCTCGTTCGATCATACACTTAGAGGAGCCCTTTGCCCTTCATTATCTCCCCTCTCCAGCCAACAAAACGATGGCCAATTGCGGGTGTATGGCAGCCGGGAAAAATCGCAAAATCCACTAGGTGCGGAGCTCTCCTAATACCGACATTAGGACTAAATCTGAAGATATAGTGACCCTTCTGAGACGTTCGCAGAGGCCGGCCAGCTGGGCGCTGCAGACTTGTGGGTACCTCGGAGAAATCACACTCTGCCTTTCTAGCCTCCTTACAAATCCTTCCCAAAAATCGTGCGGAAATGTCAGAAATGTCTTGACAGAGCGTGATTGCTGTATAGTAGCTTAGCCCAACTTCTTTTGTGCCGTCCAGGGCGCTGGCAGTGCCGTTGACTTATCGGCAATTGAAGTCCTTCTGGCTTATTATCCGAAATAATGGTCTTGGCGCCCACAAAAAAATCCAAAGTTGAAAACTTCACGAAATTGTCATTCTCAGCATACTCTTTAGAGTCTTGTGCCGCCTATTGCTCCATATATCAGGCGCCTGTTCTCCTTCAAGTTGTTTTTCCCATCAGAGCAACAGTCCCCCATAAGCCAAGACCCAGGCTTTGTATTTTTCGACTTGATTTCCTCCTTACGGGTATAAATAGCGTCGTAAATATGTAGTGAGAGATGACTGAAGATTAACGGGGCAAGCTCCTGTATGCAATTGGAGCAGCTTCTTTATTGGTCGTTGAGGCGGTATGATGCGTGGTTAGTGTTAATATTTCTATCTTGATGTCAACCCGTACAAACATACCGTATAATAGTAACTCATATTGATACTCGGGATTGCGATGGATAGCAGAGATTAATGGTGTTTATGGCAGTACGGGGTCTGGTAATTAGTGACAGGGTTAGGACACGTGTATATATATATCGCGCACTTGACTCCACTTTAATATGATGATGCTTCCGACTACATTCACAATGCCCATACCTACTCTGGGCTAATCACCTCTTACTATATCGGTCCTATCTTCTAATTAATGTCCTTTTCGCCCTTTTATCTTAAATGACAGGTCATGATATTCTTCGTCTTGCTGGCAATCATCAAGCTCAGAGTTATGGACAGATTAAATCTTTAACAGTTAGATCAGGGTTGATGTCGCCGGATCAATTGGTGTTGGTATACAGTAGAACAAGTCCATATTAAATCAGTTAATTAATGAAATCTAGAGAAAGATGATTTCCTACTTCTCGCTGTATACATAGGGAATGGTAATTGTCAGCGCCGATCATAACAATCTATGTTGCTAAGCAACCATATCTAGACCGCAACATTGGTAGCCCCCATATCTGGCTAGGCCCTATATTCCATCCCTACCGTACTGGCGCAGACAGTACAAACACAAGGGATCAATCCCGTAACAGTTGAGGACTCAGAAGATAATGATGAGAGAGGCATCGTTGAGAAGTTGTCAAATGGAGATGTGTATGAGTTTGCTTTCGACTTCGATTCGGATGCGATTCTTCTTGGCTATCCCAGATTTGCAGAGCATACTGAGCGATTACACCGGCACCACTGGAAGGTGAAGAATTCGTCTTTGCCGCCGGTACCTGTGTTTAGAAGAGTAGTCGAAATGACATCCTCTGATCTTTCATTATTACAAAAGTTTCCCTCTACGAATAAGTCAACGAACTAGGTAGTAGGTTATACATTTCCATAACTTTTGTATGAAGTGGATTTAACCGACAACTCTCCACCATAGTTTTCAGACTCTTCAATTTCCCAATTAACTTCCTTAGATGATATTAGACAGAAACCCAGCGGCTAAAGCTCCTCCATAAAACCCCCACTTCAGCTGGAGTGTGTCCTGATGAACCACTTGGCGTGGTGCCTTGCGCGAAAGGCAGACCTATTTGCAGTGTCGGTAAAAGGATCACATTTGGGTAGTGTGAATTGTTCTATGTATTTGCGATATTCAGGTTGTCATTAGGACACTGGCAGGGGTCTGATTTAGCTCATTAGTGAGGCGCTTGGAGTAGAGGAAGGAAGGGGAGATGGAGAAGGAAAAGGGAGAGACAACGTTTTATGTATTTCGAGATACCAGTTAATTGACATTATTCACCGACTTCGTGACGGACAGCTGACTTCGTGACGGCACCCAATTTGTATTACTTCGTGTTTTACCAACATGCAGAATATCACCTACATGACAAGACTAGGCCAGTAGCTCAGTCTATTATACCTGTTACCAGATGGTACCCGTAATAGCAGTTTATTTGATTGGCTGAAAGAGTCTGAATCATCCGATGTCCCTAGATAGAAGTAAAATTCCGAGATAGTTTGAGTATTTACAGAGTCTCTAACGAATAGTTGTGATACAAGAATGTTACATGCTCCATCTCATCGGCAGATGAGCGAGTGGTTGGATTCCAGGGAGGACAAAACTGCTGCTCCCTCTATTCCAAATACACAACTGGAAATTAATTAGACCAACTCTAAATCCAAACGCCGCAGCAACCAATCCATTATTTGACGGACCAATGTATATGCTTAAGGCTAGTATTCGTTTTTGACGAGGAATTATATTGTCCTTGAAATTACATTTCATAGATTTAACCTTGTTTACTTCAAGGGTGATTCATCTAGACAGTGAGAGATAATACCATCTACGTCTAGCTAGAAAATAGAATCCTAGACTGGAGAAGAAAATAATCCTGGAGGACTTGGGAAATCGTTAATATAGGTTCATGCCAAGGCTTTAAATTATGGATGCTTCTTGCCCAGCTGTTCAGATTCTATTGCTGTCAATCCATCTAGTTCCTCTGCTCCACCAAGTCTGAAGCGGAACGGGTGGGCTCCGTCAACAGGGAGTTGGGCATTGGCATCGCTCCAAATTACTTCACTCCATTAATATCTAGATGACTTTTACATATGCCGGAACCTTGCTATGGTCCTGACAATGAAAATAACAAGTTCTAGCACACATACCATCCCTTAATACATGTCCCTGCCTAGTTCTCTACATTTCAATTCGAGCAAGAGCTTTCACTTCAATCTAGGGCTAGAATAACTTGACGGAAGATTTCAGATGCGCAAGCAAGAACTTTTTGAGAGATGTCTGGGAAGCTCTTTTGGACATCAGAATTAGCCATCACGCTATGTGTATAAGAGAGACTATTTCCACTTCCATTCATCTCCAGTTCACAAGTCCCGTCACAGCTTCCAATATAACCCGAAGAAACTACTTCACGCTCTCCCACAGATCCTACAGTTCCTTTCTTGTTAATATCCGAGAAGTCTACTAGGTCAAAACTATCGATAGATCTAGCCACCCTACCAAAATATAAGCAATATTTATTATACACAATAGCTGCAATATGAGAACCTTCAGTCTTCTGTCACTGGCGGCTATTTTAAATTATCTAACGCTTCCATCTGCCGTCGGATATTCGTCTGCCACTCTCGCTAACGCTTCAAGTTACAAGTGTCAGGACAGAGTCATTGGTCCGATTACCTTAAATGATCAGATAGAAAAATTATATGCACGTTCACAAAGCAAACTAAGTGGAGGATTTACGGCAGATCAAATATTTGCCCGAGATTCTTTTCATGTAGTCTTATTGAGAGGAGGAGGTACGAAGTTTCATTCCGAAAAGCTTTATTTCATACTAATTGATATCTTTAGTATACATCCCTATCAAATTTGATTTAGCAATTAACCATTTGAAGCAAATTATTTATCTACAGTCTATTGTGATGGAACAAAAGTATACTTGTTCTCCAACAACAGAGCCGCCTCAATTAAACATGATTCTGGACTAGTTACTAGTGTGAACTTAGAGACGCAATATTTGATCACCAAAAATTTTCAGACTAAAGTGGAATAGAATAGAACGAGGAGAAAATGAATGGGGTAGTTCAGAAGGGAATTAGAACTCGCTCCTTTAAATGTTGAAAGCTATGGAAGAAAGTGTGTGTATCAAAAACCGTGATTCTCAGTACCAGGAAATAAGAAAGCAGTTCTTCTACTATATTGAATCTCACCTCTACCCACTTTTGTAATGTGACAATAATCGTTATTTTTAACCTATCAAATAGACAATTTCAACTGCACGCAGAAAAATCAAACACTTTGAGGCAAGATATTTTCATATATGTGATCAAAATATGAGAGATGACATTGCTGAATGGACCCTAATTAGCAGCAATATTGGCTCTAAGAGAGAACAGAAAGTGGGCGGGAAAAACGACGCATTCATGGAATGGTCAGAATCCTCGATGAACCACAAATGGTGGCGCTTAGGTCCCCGAGCGCAGGCCGATCCTGATAAGTGGAAAGCTACAAACTCGTACTACTGATAGAGATCTAATCTGTCAATAACTCTGAGCTTAATGATGACCAGCAAGACGAAGAATTTCATGACCTGTCTTTTAAGATGTAAGGGCGAAAAGGCATTAAATTGGAAGGTAGGACCAATATAGTAAGGGTTGAATAACCCACAGTGGGTATGGAAATTTTTTTTTTCTTCATAGTGTATTTAGCTATCTAGCTATGACACATTATTTACATAATTTTAGTTCCCAAAACTCCTTTCTAAAATCCAATCTTCATAATTATGTTTTAATTTCAAATTTTGTTATCCTAGTTCAACTCCCTTTATGTGCCACTATGCACTTGGTTGTGACCTAATATATAGGAAGTACTTCTTCTCCTCTTCTTTTTCAAAATAAGATAGGTAAAGGGTATGGGCTCTGTGAATATAGTAGGAAGCATCGTCAAATTTTAGAGTCAAGTGCGCAATATATATATACAGTGCCTCTAGGATCCGAAACGTTAACCTTGAAAATGGGTTGTTTAAGGGACTAGCCCTATAGTGGCTATTAGGCTAGCTCGTAATAGGTTAGACTGTCTCTGCTCATTACCCCGCTTGCCATGAAGTGTGATCAGATCGTCTTTTTCTTTTAAATCTTTTTTTTTTTTTGCATCAGATTTTAATTACATATGCAGCTATCTAGCTTTGACACAATATCAAAGAAAAGTACAGAAAAGATGACTCAATTTACAAGAGGGGCACTTATGCCTCGGATTTCATCTGCAAATACCACTGCGAAGTTTTGGTAGCTTTTTCTTCACCCCAAGTCAACCCTCATCCGTGAATACCCACCCAGGGGAACATCTCAAAAACCCTGAGTTATCCAGACATGCCTCCGTCATCCATCAAATTTTCTCCGCGCGCAATATGATCTGAGATGTCTCCTTCCCAAGTGGAGTAGGTGCCCAGGCTACTCAGACTATATGTAAAGGGTTTAAAGAATTCAGAAGTACTTGAAAGACGTTAACTCAATGGGAATTGATAATTTTTCCTTAGGAAGCTAATCCGCCTACGACGGCTCCTGTCCTTTATGTCCTTGTGGATCCCGGATAGATCTACAGGGCAAGAATTAGCTAGATGTAGGAAACACGGCACACACACGTAATCGTAATTAACCTATGACCTCACGCGCAGCAAATCGTACTGTCAGAGCCCGCGGTCACAGCCCGCGACCACAGCAGTAGATCTACTAGCGTTGAGGAGTAAGGAGTAATCAATGTATATAGACACATAGACATCCGACACTTAAAGGATATAGAATTCACGTATTAGTCTCAAGCTCTACACAAGATCCGTTGTAGTTAGGAGCCACGAGACACCACGTGATATCACCCCAATCTTACACCCACACCCATTGTATACTAAGTATACAACACGCGCTCGGAACCTCAAAAATATATTTTTGAAGAGTAAACCTCATTTCGAAAAAAAAAAAAAAAAAAAAAACAGTAAGAACAACTCATCATACCACTCATCATGTCCGAAAAGAGTGAGCCAGCGACAATCGCAGGTGTTAACAAAAAGGTTCGTGATCATATTGACCAGCAAAGCGAGTTCAACAATAGGATCAAGAAGCAACTCGAAAAACTCGAAAGCGTGTTAGGTTTGCAAACGGACATCGCCATTCACCAAGCGGAACAAAGCAAAATAATGGCTGAAAGGATGGACCGCATAGAAATAACAATGTACGAGATAAAGACGAGTCTCAAAGCGATCCAACCAAGAAATCAACCTGGTAAGCTCGCAATGTCTGAAGCCTCCAATTCGGCGACCCGACCTGAAAAAGGCAAAGCCCCGGCAAGGCCGGATACATACCCTCCGGTCGACAGCACAAATGTCACCTCCAAACCAGAGCCCGATTCCATCGCTTTAACACCTGGCGAAAAATTTGTCAAAGAAGCTTGGCCTCAAGCACTTCTGGCTCATGAGGTAAATCACGAGGCATATACCAGCATAAAAAATAAGGTGATAATAAGACCGGAACTTCGCCTGGACAAGGCCAATTTTACTGTATTTTCCAAGCTCGCTGAAATTCAGTCAGCTTTTAGAATTGCCTTAGTCCCGTACTGGTACTGGCCACAACGGCTTTACTTAGACATGAAAGAGGACTTCCAATGTACACGTGTTTGGGCTGAGGAAAATCCGGCAACTACTTGGCCCTTGCTACTGGAAGCAATCTTCAAAACTATGCAGCGACTAGACGTCCTACATAGTCCCAGAACCATCTTCTCCCGCCTCGCTGCCAGAGATGGAGAAGACGTTAACTCCTTCACCACCAGGATCCGCGAATGCTACTACGGCCTGTCCAAGCAAGACAGAGGAAGCGATACTACTCGAGATACTCTATCTGATATCACAAAGACCTACTTGCCGCATATATGGACACATCTCCAGCCAATGATGGTAGGAAGATCAAACAGTGATGGTGTCGAACTACTTGTTCAAATAGCGACCCGGATCTCGAAATGGCCAGCGCAAGCAAATCTTTGCGTTAGCGCGGATACAAACTTATCGTCTAAGCTAATGATATCAGATCCCAGGCAGAACCAGCCTTAATTATTCCCAATTCAAGAGAAAGCTGACATGACATCACCTAAACTTGAGAGCTCTTTTCCGGTACGCGACGGCAGTTGTGCCATTTGTAAAAAAATGGGACACTGGGCTAGAGAATGCCCAAAGAATAACTACACAAAGCAAGTACCGCCGCATTACAAGCAAGATACCGGTAAAGATAAGTACGGTAACTTCAAGAAGAAAATCTCGGCCCTCTTGGACAAAAGTAGGAATCAAAAGCAACCACAGCACATAGGGAGACCAGGGGACCGAGGAACCTATCTTATCAACTCAATTGACCCTGAAGAGACATCTAGTGACTATGATAACGCAGATCGTTTTCCAACAGACGATTTCACGGATCCGTAAATAGAATTTTAATACTAATATTAATTCGTGATAAGATGAAGGGGTAGTTAATTAAAACCATCGATTTAATAATAGCTTCCTCTATACAATTAGTCATGTAAAACGTCATGTAAGGATATACAAGGGAGTCATGAAGAGAAGGACAAGAACACAGCCATCAATGCGAAGATATTGGCAAGAATTGATTACGATTAATTCCGGCTGGCAAATGCTTCTACTCTTGTATATAATAGTTCAGCGTGAGAGAGATTTACTCCTCACGCAACGTCTTCTTTATTTACCCTTTACAATACATTTTTTCACCCATCTCTTCTTCGGGAAGACCATTTATCCATTGCCCAGTTCTTCATCAGCAAGACCTACGTGTAACACCTACTGCAACTAGTTGCCCATTCATCTCTTCCTAGAGAAGACCTGTCATTCCTTTGACCCATTTACAACCTTCACTTACCACCTAGATCTTTACTAGGCTATACAACGCACCCCGTGGAACACTATCAAACCCTCATCCCTGAGAGACGACGAGTTGGAAAAATTCTTCGATGAATTAGAAGAAGAACATCCTGTCGAGTAAAGACGTCAAGATGCCTACTTCGTGGCAGTTGACATTGACAATTGCACCACTCCCCTCGTCATCAAACCAACACGAGAGGGATATGGCAAGCCACACAAATTATTTTACACTCGTTAAACAACGTCCTCTTTGTTCAGTTTCTCGACTTTTTTCGATTACGGTTGTCCTTCTTGTTATATTTCCTTTTCTCTCGCACAAAAACTAAATCCCTACCAGACAAACTATACTTCCACGATGTCTGGAATAGGTGGCAAAGGTCCCACTGTCTCCCAAGATGTTTTAGTCAATGCGCAATTTTCCTTACTCTCATATAATGCGAAGTGGTCAATGCCATTTACTGTTTCAGCAGGCGTAGTGCCCGACGAAACATTTCCTGGAGATCTCACGCTCGGGCAAACAGTATTCCATACTTTCGGATTAAAATTCCTTGCCAATGGCGAGATTAAGCTCCTTGAATTTCCAGAAAAACCAACCCTAACCCCCCACAGTAAACACAATCTTTCCCAACAAATCTGTACGACCACAGAAGTAATAAAAGTAAAATGGCACCCGAGTACTACAACTCAGGGTTTAAAGTATGGTCGAATTTATGCAGAACAATTTCCTTCCCTTTTCGATAAATCTTTGAGAAGATCTGACATTCTTTCTAGAACCTCCCACCGAGTAGATACATGTAATAGCTCTCCAATCAAACTTCCTCCAAGACGCTACAGCCCGTCACAACTCCAAGCTATCCGCGATTTTTGCAAAGCTCACAAAGGAACATTAATCAAAAAATGCAAAGGACCCTGAGCAGCACCCTTGCTACTTATACCAAAAAAGACAAACGCAAGCTCTGAAAAGGTAATTTGGCGAATATGTGTTGATTATAGAGAACTAAATAAAGTAACAAAAAAACACGCACATCCGTTACCAAATACTCAAGATGAAATTCAACGAGCTTCCGGACACAA